ATGTAGTAACAGTAAGAAAATTGATAAATGATAAAATAAATTGATAAAATAATTCTTTAATTATTAATCAGGTGAATTCAGACGGCCCATACAACTGTTCCGGTTTTTTAATTAATGTTATTGTATTAGGATTGCAGCGAACGGTATAATAGACTATATAAAACTATTTAATGAGATTTAAACACTTAATGAAGTTACAAAAAAGACATGGTTATGAATGCAATAAAAATATCTTTAATTTTATTAATAATCGGTGTTATTTTCTTCATTAATTTATTTCTTTTTTTCTTAATAGTATTAACATAAATCAGATATAAAATATATATATAAAACCTTCATAAGTAAAGAATGAAATTAGAAACCGAACTATATATTATGTATCTATTTAAAAAAATATACTCAACCAAAAACATGCGTATAAACCTTTTGCATCTAAATTGGTATCTCTTAGTTATAAATTTTAGTAGAGTTTTAGTATCTTTATTAGCTGATACCATATCTTAGCTCTTATGTTAATATTATTATCCAATTATATACATGCGACATATAACACGTATTTTAAAAATATGTTTTCTTCTATGAAACCAAACAGTAAAAGCCTTTTTATCTGTTGTTTTTAAAAAATTTAAGGTTTTACAAGTTCATATTTTAAACTGTCATTTCCAAAAAAATGAAAAATGGTTAAGCATTTTATCTCTCATAAAATTAAGAAAAAAATAATAAATTCGTGTTTTAAAGTTATTGCTTCTTACTTAAATCGGCTTTCCACTCTTAACGCGCCGTTAATTTAGTCATAATTTAAATAAAATTCCTGGTTTAGATAAGCTTTTCAAATAACTACGCCTAATAGCGACATTTTTATAAATGCATATATACATGAGATACTTTGTGTGCCTTTCTTTAATCTAATTTTCTGATGAATATAAATCATGTCAATAATTTTCTAATATATCTTAGAGAGAACCTTTCTTTAGCCTTTCTTGTGAAACGAAAATAGCCGTCTGTTTATAATATAATTGTTGGAATAAAATCTCTATTCTCCAGCTCTTTAATGTCTGGAAGCAAATAATAGGCATTGGATATCAAATCTATTGAGCGCGATAGATAAGGAAGTGTTTTCAAGTATACTGTACTTCATACAATTAGATCTTCATAACCAATGATATAATATAGTATATTGCCTGGGTCAAAGAGCACTTTTTCCTTCGTCATATATAACTGTTTGTTCCCGATTTTTTTAAACATACTGATAATATGTTATTTGTTATTACTTATTTTTTTCTTAATGTAATCTATGAATGTTAAATTTGTGAAACCCAATATAGGACGGCTATCAGCTTACTGTGCTTGGTTGGTTTAGTCGTCTTTCGTCGAAAACTCTCAACTTAACTGCCGTCTTGATTTCAGTATAATGGGATATTCGGGTCGTAATTAATACCAACTAAAAAAAATGCAGTTTATTGCACTTTAACAGTTCTAAATAGCACTAGGAACTATCGTCATGTTATTGCATACGAAAACATTTCTAATTTTGAAGCTCAGCTTTCAAATCATCAAATTTATATATAAATATATAGACACTGTCTTCTGATACTTTTAAAATGTCAGCTATCTCTGTGAACTCTATGTTGCAAATAAATGTAATAAAGTTAAATATTTAAGCAATTTTATTTTGACTTAAAAAAGTGATAAAAAAAAATATTTTTGTGCAATAAATTTTATATTATATTGCACAAATATATAATATTTATTTTTTTTTTTGTACATTTTGGTTTGACTGGGCACGTGTGATTTGAGAAAATTGTTTCGAATCAACTCAACAATCATAACTTTCCAATCAGTAAGAGGTAAAGAGGGTACAAAGATTATCAATTTTCAGTTCAGTGAGTTCACGACGTTGCTACCTTCAAAGTGACAATTTATTTATTTCTCAGTTTTTTACAACCAAATAAAGTCTAAGTTCGTTGTAGACATACAGAGATTATTCTATTTATCCAGTCAAATTGAATAGCCTCGCTACGTCAACATTATCTCTTTATATTCGGTGCTCAGCAATGCAATAGATTGCTTGGATATAACTTTTTTTTCATAGGAAATTTGTAATTACATTAACTATTATTAACTATTATTGTTCTTGTCCATGTTGTTTGATGAGATTTTTTTTTAATGTGAAGTTATTATTTGTATATTTCGTTCCAGAACTTGAATATTGTAACGACTCCACTTCACTCTGTAGTTATATCCTTAATTCCACATTAATACTAAAGAATTTGAAAAATAGCGAATTAAAAGGGCGGAAGACTGCGTTCTATTGTGTCTTCTAATTTTGATAACTACATAAAATAGGTTTCCACATCTTCAGAATTTCGCATTAGAATTCTAAAACGTGATACATAGCTCTATTAACTAATCCGTTCTATGTTACGTTTCATTATGTTTTCTAAAATTGATTTTTACAAATAAATGGGGCTTTCAATTCTTCACAATTCCATATTAAAATTTTTGATAAGATTCTTGAATGGGTGGTAGATTGATAATCCATTTCGGAATTCCATATTCTCGGGGACTCACAAATGTGTTGAATATTGAGTCGAGTTAATACCATCTTAACCAATATGTGGGAATCAATGTTTTTTTATGAATACTAAAGACGAAAGCGATTTTTCTTGTTACTTATTTGATGGTACATAACTATGTAATAGTCTTTGCAATGGCTTTTGTTTTGGGTACCATCCATGGTCACCGACTTTTAAATACTAAGCGATTTCAGTAGAACCTCTAAAATTGAAGTTGTGCAGCAAAAGACACATTTTCCTTAAAAAATTCGTCCCACTCATCCATTTCTTGTTGAGAAGTAATATCTGAAATATATTCGTGATTTCATAATATGGATAATATTGATTGAGTATAGGAGAGCAAATAAATACATATAAGTGACAAATAATATTTAGAATGCAAGAATAATTAACAAAAGTTGCATTCCTCACGGTAGTCAATTTTTTAAAGTTGCAATATCAAAGGTAATACAGGGAAAATTTAAGAGGTTGCAATAACCGAGGAGTTGCGATATTGAAGAATTGCTATAAAAAGTTAAAAATCTAGCCAAATCTAACGTTTACAAGAAATGTTGTCTTAGTTCAGCGGCTATTAAAAACTTTTTCACCGGTAAGTTGTGAAATGTTCAGCATAGTTTTTATGTTTATTTAACTGGATCTCGAAAAAAATAAATCTGTTCGCGAAGTTCGTAGAGCACTTCGTCCACTTCGGTCAACATAATCGGTCATAATCGATGAGCAAACAATTCGTGTAGTTATTGATCGTTTTCTCATTCACTTCACTCTTCTCGATTTAAAACCATCAACAAAGAAATTCTCTGACAGCAACATCGGCCCTTATTTCTTGCGCAGTGAGGAAGGAGCTGCCATTACGTTAAATGGCGAGCGCCGAGCCATGCTGACTAAATTTTTGTTGCCAAAAATTAATCATTTGGTTCCAACAAGACGGCGCAACTTGCCATATAGCGCGCTTAACAATCGATTTATTGCGAAATTAATTTGGTAACACATTTATTTCTAGAAGTAGTCGTGTCCTATTAACTCTGCCCCCCTCATCCGTGCGATTTAACGCGTCTCGATTTCTTTTTATGTTGCTATGTTGTCATTGGTTTATGCCGACAAACCGGCAACTCTTGACACATTGGAAGCTAATACTCATGCCACCTTTGACGTCATACGACCACAGTGATTGCAAAAAATAGTTAAAAATTGGACTGATGGAATGAAAATAAAAAATAAATACCATGCAATTATCTACCAGATTATAATAAAAAAATAGTTTCATTCCAACAATATTTCTCTCTTATATTTTAGGTTCTCATGCAGCTAAGAAAAACATCCTATATATATATGTTAGAAATTTGATTAAAAATTGTATAAAAATAAAACATTGTATAAAAATAAGGTAAGAACTTAAAGCGATAAAATCGCTTAAAATGTCTGCTGAAGTCTGTAAATGACAATGTTTTAATACCCTGGAAACTGTACAAATAATTTTCAAGCCGTCTTCTTGCTATAGGCCAGCTATTATTAGTACGTGATAAAATTTTGTTTGGTTTTCTCTGTAAAACTATTCAAAATTTTAGGGTGCGGTGCACTTTGGCCATTGTTACAAATCAGTATACCTGCAAATTTGTAGATATATGAGTTAAGCTATTGGCTTTGGGTTTTGGTTTTTGTATTGACTGACTTCAACTTCAACTTTTACTTGTGTACTGGGATTATTCGTTTTATTATCTCTGTAACAATTACATATTTAAAATAACTTGTTTTAAAATAAGAAAGCAAAAGACATGCCAAATTAAGTTAAAATGCACAAAAATACATAATAATAATGAAATGCAAAAGAGAATAGCCATTATGTATTAAACGAGGAATTACTTTTTTGCCCGGTTACACAGTGAAAAGTTTGCTCTGTACAATGCATTTCTGCATAAAACAAGTTTGCCGCCAACCAAGTGCCAAGTCAATTTTCAAAACCCATAAAAGCAGACGAACCATTAAATGTTTTAAGATCCTAAGGAGCCAAAGATCAATACATCGATATGCAGACTCAGTTGGTTTAGCGAGCGATTCGTTAGTATTGAAACGCCTGCCTTTATAAGTGCAAACAAGACTTACATTACTTAACTTGGTTTGGTTTGGTTTGGTTTGGTATGGTTTCGTTTGGTGCAGTGTGGTGTGATGTGGTGTGCTATGCTGTGTAGTATGGATTGCAAGCCGGTAAACTTTGCTAGGCTACAGATTCTTTAAAATGCGGCTGTCAAGTCGACAAGACTTTAACTCATTATTTTTGCTTTATTTCTTATGACAACATTCCAGCAGATATGCAAGCACCAGTGCAGAAAACGTACGGCAGCACCAAAAGCTATGTGCAATGATGAAGTGTGCACAACATGGTTTAGGAGTTCAATCCTATTCTGTTACGATATTCCGTAGATACTCACTCGCATGTACAGCATCTTTGTTTGGTGACAACGTAAGTTCGTGCCGTCGATTAATGTCGCGTTTGCTCCTTTTTTTGTTTTTATTTTTTTATTGCCTTAAAAGTCAGTTTACTAAAGATTTATTGGCATTTGTTTGTGGTTTACTTACGTATTTCTTTGTTTATTTTTTTGGTATAATCTGCTAAATTTTAATTAAAAATCAGAATAAAGATCCATCAATAAGTGGACGAACGATATTGTTTATATTATTTGCACATAATCTATTTAATGTAGAATGTTTATTTCTTCTACTCAAATAAAAGTTGCAAGTCTCATCAAATTCAAATCCTAGGGACATTCATGAAATTCATAAAATTACCAATAAAGTTATGTTTATTATTAAACACTTTTATTATATTGTATATAATAAAATTTAGATAAATCTATAAAATAAATGGCTTCATCACGAAATAGTAAAGGCTTTGGATTACGTATGCTATGGATACCAGGACGCAAACATCAGCATCCGAAAGGTCGTTACGATTCCACAAATAAGCAGGTATCATATGCTGGAGGTAGAGGACAAAAAAAAAGTGAAATATGGTCCTTAGGCGGTAGCAGAACACATAAAGACTTATTAAATGCGTAAGTTTGGTGTTGTGGTTACTTCAAAATTCTAATTATTGGGAGACATACCTTAATAATATGGTTTGGCATAATAAATTTCATCAATATTATTATTTCGATGCTGATATTGGAGTAGTTTTGGAATCCATTTTCATTATACTATATAGTTCACAATAAAATTCATCGCACTTACACGTTAACACAATTTGTATTATATACCTTATTTTAATATATATCATAAGTATCATACACTTGAATTTGTATATATATTACAAACTCTATTCAACTGTTTTCTTTACATAATTACTTGTATTATTAGTTATTATCATTCATTAAAAATATAATCTAATTTCAAATAATACTTAATATTAATGTTTACTTGAGCTCTTGTCATCAGAAATTAATTTTTAATTTAGCGTGTGATTGTCTGTGTATATATTTAGAAAAAAACGCATATTAAAATACAAATTAAAAATAATTATAACGTATATTGTTTAAAGTTTTACGATTTCCAAAACACTTAACTTACTATTTTAAACTATTAAACACCTATTTTAAACATTAAAAACTGAGATGATAAGATGAGATATTACTTACTTTAAAATTAAAAATTATAAAAAAATGCAATTTATATTTTAGAATTTCTATACGTTGTAACCTTTAATAGAAAACTGAGAAAAATCATAACAAATAGACAAACATTATATTTTTTAGTGCCCAGTGAAAGGGGCATTTAGCTTTTTAATTCAGTTTTTAACAGGCATCTGTTTGATATCTTCCAGAAAAAAGATAAAACTTCCCTGTTCATAGGACTAAAATTGGGGCAGAGAATAACCCCTTGCTAAACAGTTAGTTGTCAGACACAAATCTTGGTATTTTTAAAATATATACTTCGTATAATTTTAACTGCCCTACGGTTTAATTGTTCTGAGGCACACACCTAGTTTCAAGTAAAAGGAAACCAACATGTCAAGTTCATACATTTGGATGGGTTGGGACCCTTTAAAACTTGAGAACTCTGTCAAGTAAGTTAGAAAAACGTTAAGTACAAATTGCTTTTTATCTGCAAAGCCATAGCCCCGACAAAAACCATTTTGTGGTAGTTCAAGTCTTATTGCATGCATACCTTCGTAATACGCTGTGATCTGATCTGATCAGATTTTCCAAAAAGAAAATTTAATGAGTAGAAGTTAACTGATTATATTAATTGTTAGCTTCTATAATCTTTAAAGATGTTAACCTTTATGATTTAGATTTATTTTTGTACTACAAAAAAATATATTTTGAAATATTTCAGTCAGCTTTACATTCATTAATTGGATTTATATCCTTTTTACAATTCAATAAGGTTCTAGCAGGTCTCCGTCTAATATATTTAGTGATCAAAAACGTATTCCACACACGATAAGAACTATCCTGTTCGTACTAGGTGTTATTTTCGCGCATAACTACGTATGCCCGAATTACAATTCTATCTTCCTATTATGTCGGTCATCTGTTCACCGACTACGCTCATACATCAATCTGATTCCTATCGTGTTACTTTAGTCATGTGCAACTTGCCAGTTAACATAGCGCACTTATAATAAAACTGGATCTTGGGAACTCATCGAAAGAGATCGTGTGAACACTGCAAGGCTTACTGCAGTTATTTCTGGTTATTGGCATTTCTGATGCTCATAATCTTCACTGCAGAAGTTGTGGAAATTTGCAGAAAAAAGAAACCATAAAACACTTTCTTTGTGAATGCCCCACTTTGACATCCAGTAGAAATAGGTTTTTAGGTAGATATTTCTTTGATAACATAACTGACTGTTAATTGGTAAAGACAAAAGACCTGTTAAATCATCTAATTTCGTCAGGATGAATTTAATCTATATCCTACCTTAGAAATTCTTTTGTGGTAGCAAAATTGCGAAAAATCGTTAATTGAGGTACATGGATCTGATGGCCAGCCATTTCAACTAAACAACCTATCGTATTATGACTCTGCCCATTAAGAAAGATATCAATATTGTTCTAACTAAACCCGGGTTAGTTTTAATTATTGCCACTTATATAGAGAATTTATTGACAAAATTCTTATTCCATTTATATATGAATTGTCAGTTTTTCATGTAAATGGTTTCTGGACTATATGACTTTTTCATCAGTTTTTCATGTAAATGGTTTCTGGACTATATGACTTTTTCATCATTAAATATAACTAACTAATTACAGTTAAATCTCTCATAAGTGAATACTCGTTGTCATTCTAAAGAAGTGTCTAGCCAAAAGGGATTAAGTTTATGATAAAAAAAAATTTTTTTTAAAAAATGTGCGTCCATTGGGAGAGTTTTTACTGTAATTATATTACACTATATTCTATAAAAAAGGGAATATTAGGGAATTAACATCTACTCTTGAGTTATATTTTCGAAATGTTTTTGCATAATAAATTAGTTAATTTAATTATTTATTTAAGTTTTATATAATTAATAGTTTAGTAGTTCACTGTAATTTTACACCACTAAAATATTAACAGTTATTAAACAATATAGAGTTAATATAACGCATTAATAATATAATATAATATAAGACTGGAAACATCTAGAGAAAAAAATACAGAATTATAATAAATTAAAATTATTAATAGATTTTTAAATGATTCGAAGAATTATAAAATATTTTAAACTTGACTTTATAGAGATTTGTTATTATAGGAAATTTTACGAAACTACCCATCTGCATCTCAAAATCTATGGTCTAATGTTAGATGAATTTCTAATGTCAGTGTAAAATTAGCTTCAATATGCAGCGCGTACTCTGTAATTTGACCAGCCAACAGTAATCTCTTTGTGAATTGTTTATATTAAAATATTGTTTATTTCAGCAGTTTGTATCGCTTGTGTTTCTAAACATTTGCATTGAGAGATACATTTTATTCAAATATGAGTCTATTTGACGTACCGCGAAACCCAACTAACTCTTTTCAGTACACAAAAGAAATCTCAGCTTCAGCAGCTCACATCGGAAATGTTAAAAGCTTTATATTTTTGTATCTCAGTACATGTTTTGCTCTGTTGGTATATAACAGCACTCGTGTTATATAGGTACTTTTACTATTCTTAGCTGTTATGCAAAACACATTAATGTCAAACAAATATTTTAATTTGGTAAATATAAAATAAAGAAATATACAAAATATTAATTTATTGCTAACTTCAAATTTGCCGTATTCTGGAATTTGTGTAAAGTCAAATCTAAACAAAGATGCGCCGTATTTGTGTAAAAATTAATAAAGAATATTGACTTCGAGACGTAAATTAGTCATTAAATGAGATTTGAAAGAACGCTTCAAAGGTTTTTGACTTATATGAATCTTTAACTGTGGTTAGTGTTGTTCTTTATTAAGTACACATTTAATTTTATATTATTTTATGGACATACAATTCATCCAAACAAAACTAAATCATTGTTAATGTCATTTTATAAACTGTGACATCATCATTACCAAATGTTATAAAATTATTGCAAAATGTAAAATATACACCAACAAAAATTAATAATATTCATTTAATTAATTCAATTCACATCGCAATAACCTAATATTATGCTTAAGTATTGTTATTAATAAATTTATTTCTTTAGCGAACCGGATACATCATTACTTGACGGACCTTCCGGTTCAGGCTTAGCTCCTATTAGCTGTGCTGCAATCGGTGCGGCGGCAACATGTAACCCAACCAGCAGTAAACCGGCAGATTTAAAAACATCTGAAGAGAATTTATTAAATTTACCAAACACCCCCAATAGCACCTCATCCACAGCTCCTTTGGTGTCGATACCAAACAGTCCAGAGGCAGTAGCAACTTCAACAGCTGTACCGACAACAACACCTGAAAGCACAATGCCTGCTAAAACAGCGTTGCCACCTATAATTGTCACTACGACAACAGCTGAAATATTTGAATCACGAGTAAGTCATTATTTGCCTAGAAATCAGTTTATTGACGACTAATTTTGTACCCGATTTCATTTCAGAAAAATCGTTTTGAAATTCTAAACGAAATTGATAGCAATAATGTTGAAATTGACGAATTACCCCCAATACCCAGTAATTTATTATTGGATACATCTGGTGGTACAACCGCATCTGCTGTAACATCACCCTCGACTTCGCCTATACGTTCAACAAATAAACGTTCGGATTCACCTGAGAAGAAGAATAGTCATAGTCGTCGTAATCATAATAACAATCATCAGGTAAGACAAGGATTTTAGATCAAATAAAATGTTATATCCTTCAAATAGAAATGCTAAACATGCAGATACTTGTTCAGATAGTAGTGGTCCATTACTCCGCAAATAGTACTGACAAATCGATATCACGCAGAAGATTTCGAATTCTATAAAGAAAGTTTCTGGACGTTCATTTGCGTTCAAGCTACTCATTGTTACGTTGTCATACGATCCTTTATGCGTATTCGAATGTTAATTTATTCATGTTAGCTAATTAAGGTAGGGTGAAGACTAAAGAAATTTTAAAGTTACATAACAAGTCATATATATAATTTTTGTCATCTTTTGACGCGTCCTCAATCTGTCTACAGAACTACTGAAAAATTTGTGATTTAAACGTTTTTTCTATTCCCTAATTTGAATCCATAAGGTAGTTTAGGTTAGGTTGCTGTGGTGCCCTTGTGCTCAAAGCACACTTGAGCTCAAGTAATGATCATGGATTAGCGTTGTTCGCACGCAGAGCAAAAGAACCGCAGTTGTTAGCATACGAGCAACGCCGAAAGGCTCAACTCCCCTATTCGAGAAAAAATGAATCAACCTAACAAGTCTACAAACTTGACCATGTCCCTAATTTTACATGATGAGCGCAGGACTGTACGGGCTGAAATCAATTGATTAATACATAGATGTTAGACGTCACTGCGGTGTTACTACTTAATTGCTAATATTACGATCACCATTTCCGATATGCATGCATTTCAGCGCCTACACTAGCCAGATCTTGGCAACTTTAAAAATGTTCAAATGCAAATGTGTATAATTTTGTTAGTGAAGAAGTATGCAAAAATCTTGTCATAGTGAAACCAGTGTAGACGCTGAGTAAACGTTATGAGAGGGAAAAGGTTTCTTACAAACGTGATCCCAAGATCATAAGTGTGTATATGTATATAATCATAAGTATGATAAGTATGTATATAAAATTGCTTGACACTCATTAATGATGTTTGTGAGGTATCATTCTCTTACAAAGTTTATCAATTTAAAAATAAAATTATTGTGACATGCAGGTCAACGTGTTTCTACCCTTAAAGCTTGCCTAATAGCAATGATATAACATAAGTTACAACAATAACAGCGTTATATTAATTACTTTAAAATTTTAATTACAAATTATAAATAATTTGTGTTTAAGAAATACAACTAAAAATAATGTGTCGCATCAAAACTAATAACCCAAATATAAAACTTTATCAGAAAATATTTACAACAGCAATAGAGTCGTATTAATAATTTTATCAATTAAAATTTTATTTTACATTATATGTATGTAAATTTTTTGAAACAAATACAACTAAAATGATATACATCATATTGAGTCTGATAGTCAAAATATATAACTTTATCAGAAAATATATAACACATTTTTTTTATATACTAAAACATATTTTTTATTTTTATTTCTAGGAAGATGTTAATTCTATCGAAAGCATTGAAGATAACGCTGTAGATGAAAAAATTAAAAACTTAGATTGGGTTAATCAATTGCAGGAGGAACTTAACAATACACAAGCGACTCTGCCGAAAACTAAAAATAAAAAAAAGAATAAACCCACCACAGCTAAAGAAAAGGATCAACTCGACGGTGTGCCAACGAAATCAAAGGGAAAAGAATTGCCACCGGACGAAGATGAAAAAGTGGTGAAATGTCTGTATTATACATTGATGTGTTGTGATTGCTCAATCTCTTAAAGACATTGCACAAGCACAATAACTTATTATAAGTATAACACTAAACATTAATACTTCTTACATCATTTTTTATAGTATATATATAATGTATATAATTTTTTTTTCTCTCACTTTTTAATAAATAAGCATAAACTTAGACTATAAGAACTTTAAAAATTGAATTAGAAAACTAAACAACGATTTTATCGTTAAAGCAGTTAATCAAAACGAACCTAATGAATCTCTTCAATATAATTAAATTAAATTACTTAATTAAGTAACATTTGCCAAGCGTAACAATAAGTATTCCTCTTAATTACTAATGAAATATATGAATTCGATAGTTATAAGTAACAAAAAATTAAAAAAGAATAAGAAAAACAGAATACAAAAAAACCATATAACATTAGGTCATATATTTATTTTTGATATAACGCTTAAAAGTTTAATATAAAAAAAATAACATATAAATTTTATATAAATATTGAAAAGAAGAAAGATAAAAATTTTTGAGATTTTTTTATATATACATAATCAAATAGATTGTGAAAATTTATAGTTAATAACATTTACTTATATATGAATATTTTATATAATACAATATTATATTTAAAAAAAAAAATTATAATAAAACTTATACATATTTACAAACTGTAATAAAACTTTTTATGGTTTAAATATAATGCTATTGCTATCCACAATAAGGTATTCCAAACTGATTCCAACAAGAGAACAAAATGTGTATTCATGGCACCAATACGCCAATGCCAAGGTAACAATTTGTGCATTATCGTATGGCCCACATACATAATAATAGCATTTTTACCTGCTTCAACAAATGGAAAACCAGTCCACCAATGTTTTATATCAATAATGAAATAAAATACGCTCAACATAACAAAAGCAAGTGATGATGTGATGAATACAAAAGACAATGACCTGAAAGTAAGCATATAAAAAATTAAAAAAAAAAAATTTAAAGCCAGCTTAAGTATTTACCATAAATTTTTATTAATTGGTATGAGTCCATCCTCCTTGGTAAAAGCACATAAGGCACCACCTAACAAAGCCAAACATATCGACCAAAGTAACCAACGATTAATACGTGAGTACCAAGCATTATGTACTAATATAATAACGCCTGCTAACACACCAAAAAGTACTTGTACAACCGTTAATAAGCAACCTAAAAAATAGTACTGGTTTTTTGCAATATAAGAAAGTAGATTGAAGGAACTTACCGAATAAACCTTCTGGATCAAATGCCTGTGAATCATAAATATATTTTGCTGTTGGATGTTGGTAAATATGTGAATCACCTAAAATCTGCAAATCTATATAACCTGTAGCCCCACCTATACAAGTGACATAAGCTGCATTGTCATGTTTTCCGCCTGGTCCCAAATATCCTCTGCGTATGGAAATAATAAAGAAAATCAATATGAATTACTTATCTCAAATGGTTATGTTGTATCGTTTATTACCTTGGACAATTTGGTACATAAAGACCAAAAGATATGCCTAAATAGATAACGATCAGAGTTAACATTGTAATAAATTCTCCACGTAGTAAGATCAAATCGTAAAGTGTACGTTTCCAAGGTACCTTAAATTTATTGAAATGTTAATAATAACATCAAATAATTTAAAAATATCATATCATAAAATAGCATAATTTAAATGTAAGTTTATGGAAAACCAACCTGTGGCATAAGTATTTGATCTCTTTTGCAAAAGATCGTATGTACAATTCCACAAACTAAATATGCAATACCAAATCTTTGCAAAACGCCCATTACGCGTAATTTTTCTAAATTTGGTCCATTAATAGAATTTAAACAGAGTCCTATCGCAAATAACTTTAGAGAACGCTATAAAAATAATTAAAACTAATTAACAAATAATCAATATGTTTGCCTCATTATTTATGTTTAAA